TACTCAGGTTTGTTTTACACATTTATTATTTAAATTGAAATTTTTGAAAAAAAATTTACGATGTGTTTTTTAACTCTGGCCAAAATTATAATTTTTGGCCAGAATTAAGTGGTGTGGTGACGATCACCACTGGTGATATTTAGCAATACCCAAGAATTAATATCCTTATATTTTATTTTAAAGCCTTTTTTTTTTCATATACTTTGTGATAAAGTTAATATAGTATTTACTAGTTGAAGTTATTTTTCAGGTTAATTCATAAAGAAAAATTGGAAATTGTGAATTTTCAGCCTTTTTATAGAAAGTATTTATATATATTTTTAGAGCTTTCTGCTTCAAATTTAGATAATTATAATCAAAGCAAAAAGATTTATATTTTAAATTTAATTTTTTAGGAATTATTTTATCCTTTTCTTTTGCTGAACTTATTATCTTTTTAAATTGATCCCTTTTTTTTTCTATAGAGGTGAAATGTGTTTTAAGCTCTACTTTCTTATTAAATAAATTCTCTAATATAGTAGGATATAAATCCTTTTTTTTCAATTAATTATTATGTCTTATATACTAAGTATAGATGTCACACTTATTGAATAAAAAACTAATTAAATGTAAGCTATTTTTATTTTTTTTTTACAGTATTAGTTTCATCTAGATTTAATATAATTTTTTCTGGTAAAAGGTTATAGATTACAAGATCTTTTCATTATTGACTATAGCATTTAGTTTTAATCTAAATTATTATTATATTAATATATAAAAATTATTACTAGTATTATAAATATTTTTTTTAGTAAAATTCTGCATATATTTTTAATGACTAAAAATTTGCTAAGATTTACTTAATAAATTTTTACGTATAATTTTAATGCTGAAAATTTGCTAAAATTTACTCTAATATTCTGCGCATAATTTTAATAATTTAAAATTCTGTGCAGAAATCATAAATTTTTTTCTTCAAAGTTTGATAAGATTTGTATAGAAAAATCAATCTACAGACTTTGTAATCTAAAAAATTTGCTGATATTATTTAATAAGGCTATGAATAGAATGATAGATTTAGGTTATTTATCTAAATCTTTCCAAAATTCTCTGATTAGTTTCTCTAAGATTTTACTATAATTTTATTATAATTTTATTATAATTTTAACAAGATTTTGGCAGTTTCAGCATTTATAATATATTTCATCAGGTTTTGCTTTTCTTTAGAATTTTACTAATTTTTTAATAAAACTTTCATATAGTTTTGGCAAAGTTTCACTATTTCAGCATTTCACCAACTTGCTAAAACCCTTTAGTTTCTCCAACAACCTTAGGTAGATTATAATTATAGAGTAAAATTTTTCTTTTATTTTGCAATGTAATGGATTTTGTAGTTACCTTTATATAGAAATTAAGGCATTTTTGCTAAAAATAACTCATTCTACACATGACTTACCTATTGAGCAAAATTGATCATTTAACAGTACACATATAATGTGTGGTTTATTATGGATTAATTATATTAGAATAGTTAAAGTAGTTAATAATTACATTTTTATAAAATTCCTATTTGTTTTTACTTTAATAAATTTATAAATGCACTGCAAAATAGGATTATTGAATTTTTCTCTAATGTTTGATTATACTATTAGTTTAGTTTTGAATTTAGTTTACAATTTTCTTTTTCTTTTAAATTTGTTACCCTTTTTGCCCTATAATTATGTATTTACATTTACATTGTACAGTACTTATATCAGATAATTAGAATTTATATATGTTAATTCCCGGCAAGCCAAAATTGTGTATTATTATAAATATTTTCAAAATTTCTTATTCTCTATAATATCATTCTTTATTTATTTACAATTTAATTTTATGATTATTATAATTTTTAATAGGATTTGTTGAACTTATCCTCGCAAATCTAAGTTTGATATGATTCAAAACTTGTAGAATTCTAAAAAATGCCACCAAAAGAAATTATTTGCAGTATAGACTGATACAAAGCGTGAAGGATACGCCCCAATGTAATAAACGCGTAGCCTGACACGTATTATATAATTTTGTAGGTTTTTGACAAAAATGGATAAAAACTTCTATTTTTTCCATATAAAGTCAGTTAGAGTGTCACGTTAACATCTTGACTTGTACTCCTCATTCCCCTAATTATATGTTCCGGTTTAAGCCCCCGACCAAATTGTTTTAGCCACAGGAATTATAATTATTACTTCTCACCGTTTCTCAAAAATATATATCAAAAAGATTTTCTTTATCACGCTGAACAATTCTTTCGGCTTTATACTGTAAAGTCCGAAAAGCACTCATTTTTCTATTAAAAAATAACAATTATTAAAGAACTATCAAAAAAAACTTTATGATTTCTGAAACCTATCAGGTATAATGACATCTCAACCCACTTCACAAGTTACAAACTCAGACAGTAAAGTTATTTCTACAGCATCCTCTTCTAAACAAGTCAGCAATATTAAAGGAAATTCTCAAATACAAGAAGAATGGGTAAAATCCCCTGTTTTTTTTAATTTGGATCTATTGTTTTACAAAAGCTGCAAAGTCCCAAGTGTAGTAATAAATATGATAATTTAATGTTCCTTTTTTTAAAAAAACACTTTTTTCCGCCAACTAATATCTATTCTTGTTATATTCCCAAAGGGCGATGAGGACGGGGAGTTCGAGCTTGAAGAGGATGTTATTACTCCAACCGAACAGTCCATGGGTGAAAAACAAGAATCTTCAGAACCCGTAGAAAATAACGCTGATGATCAGAAAGATGAGGATGCTAATTTTTTGAATCGACAACAGTCTTCTATAAACTATAATAATTCACATAAAACAGACGACGATAAACCGTCGAGTAAGCAAGCTAGTTCATCATCATCTCCTATATCACAAAATGCTGATGGTATATTTCTTTATACAGTTAGTGTTAATAATTAGGTTTTATAATTATGACATTCATTATTCAAAGTTTTTTTTTTATAAATGTAATAGCACAGGAAGATGATAGTTCGCCGAAAACTAAATCTGGCCGTAAAGTTCAAAAGCCAGTTTTATTTATTCCAGAGGCTAAGAAATCGCAATCTGATAAAAGAAGTAAAACATCCGGTAAGTTATTTATACCTTACATTAGTTTATTTTTATATAATTTGTTTGTTCACTATTTTGCTAAATTTTAGGTAAACGACAACGAAGATTTTCTAACGTATCGCACAATGTAGCATCACAAAATTCACAACAAAATACTTTGTCATCTGCGTCGTCTCCCGAAGAATCTCCAAATATGGAGGTCTCAATAAAGATTGAGCAAGAGCCGGAACAAGTTGTTGCTGATGATACTGTTTGCATTATATGCCATGATGGTAATTCCCCTAAGCATAATAGGATAGTTTTGTGTGACAAATGCGATACTCCTTATCATCAGCGGTGCCATAAACCATCTATTGAAAACCGTGTAGTAGAAATACCTGATGCTGAATGGATATGTTCAAAATGTGATGATTTACGCGGACGCAAGCGTAGAAAAGTTGAGATCAGTGCTACAACTGTCAGCACCGTTGGCAGCAGTTCTCGCAGTTATTCAAGTGAAATTTCTGGTGATGGGTTAACAGAAGATCAGGTGTGAATAATTAATCATGCAATGTTAACAGACTATATTACCATATTTTAATTTTCAAATATTGTTTACGTTAGAAAATAGCATATTTATCGTCTTTACCGCAACGAGTATTGATTGATTTGATACTTATTGCTGAAAAGTTACATCCGGATCTTCCACTTTACCCTGCAGATGTTAAAGAAAAAATTGCAAATAATGCTTATGCGAGTGATCGTGGTAGTGACCCTCGCGTTTTAACTAATTCTACCGCTTTACCTCATCAATCTTTTATGTCACAAATGTCCATTCCTTCACAACCAACACAAAGTTATTCACCGTCTTCTATTAATAATAATCTATCACGGGCTCATTTACCAGCTGTTGGTATTGACCTACCTTCATATGAAGAAATGATAGTGCAAGCACTTGCATCAATAGCAGATCCAGCTGGAAGTGCTCCTCGTAACATTTTTGAATGGATGAACAGGTAATCAATAAATTAATCGACGGAACATTATTAACTTTTCAAACAAAAAAAAATGATAATAATTTTCATTTATAGTTCGTATCCTCTTCATAAAAATTTTCGCGCCTCGGCTTCTCAAGCTTTGCAAAAAGCTGTGAAGAAAGGTCGCGTGTTTAGAATCGGAACAGTATACAAAATTAATCCCAACTATCGACCTGCTAAGGTATTTTACAATAGTTGATACAGAAAGGGATATTAATATATTTTATAAAATAATTCATCATATTTTATTATTAATATTATTTTAAATTAAAATAATTTAAATAATCTTATAAGAGAACTCGTCGATTTTTTAAAAGACCGAGCTCTAATGAACCATCAGCATATAAAGAAGATGATGATGACGATGACGATGACGATGATATTCTAGAGACAGATAGTCACGGTGGTCATGATGGTATATACGAGATAGCTGTAAGATTAGATGATAATGATAATTTTACTTCTGTTCATAGTTTAGATATGGAAGAACATCCAAGTCTTACATCATCGGCTGTATCTAGTCCACTACCAAATGCTATTTCTAGTGGCCACACAGCTGTGACTTCTCCTGAAGCAAATTCTCCATTGGATGATATGCCAAATAAGATCGTTTCTGTTATGATCAATGAACCTTCGGCATCAATAGGTTCAATTATGTCCAATCAATCTATATTATCACCAGTTATGGGTAGAAATATAGCCACAATAAATAATTCAACCGATTTATCTTCAACATTATTACATCCTCCTGTGCAGCAAACATTACCTCCTTTAAGCTCAGTTAATTTTTTTGGTTCGGGTTATGTTGGAAATAAACAAAATTCAACATTTTATTCCCCATCACAAACGGGAAATTATAATATTGGGCTTCCATCTATATATAACATCTCTTTATCACGAGACCGTGAAAGCGTTCAAAGGTCCGGAAACTCTAGTGCAGGAGCTATGCATCTTCAATAAGCGGGGCGTTTTTGTTTGTGAATTGGTTAGACAGAACTTTGTACAAATTTATGATTGTCTTTAGCACAATTGGTTTATTTTTTATTCTTAACAAAAATTACAAATTATATTGACGCCATCCGTCTACTTGTTAATAATTTAGTATTTTAAGTATATAATATCTAGGTTTAAGGAATTAAGATTTATCCATCTTAATTCTTGTAAAATAAAACGCAAATATCCATATATTATTTTGTTATGTACTACATTTGATGATAAAATTTGATTATCAAATCGTTATAAATTAATCAAAGATCTATTAAAAAAAGCATGTATTACGATAATGGCGGATCAAGATTAAACTGGCGTATTTTCTTTTATTAACCCTCATTTTTTCGTTTACCCTTCTCTGTGAATAATAATTCAAAATGGCGCATAATACCCGTGCTCTTAACGACGATGAAGTGCTTAATGAAATGAAAAAAATGGTAAATCTATATATTTATGTACATATATAGCAATACTTGTGCGTTAAATTAGATGTTTTTTTACGGTTTAGGTTGCTTTTATCAACCAAGAAGCAATTGAGAAAGCTCGTGAGATAAAAGTCAAGGTATGTATCAACTTGGTTTTTTTAATAAAAATAAAAATAGGATACTTTTTGATTTTTTTTTTTTTTTTAGGCTGACGAAGAATTCAATATCGAAAAGGTTAGCATTTTTCAAGCTACTGGTAAATTGTTTTATTTTGTTTAAGAAAAAGAGATATTTAATAGTATAACATATATTAGGCTAAGCTTGTTCGTCAAGAATCAAATAATATTGAGGCGACATTTCAACGAAAGATCAAACAAGCCGAAATCCAAAAGAAAATGTAATGTATTTCAGTTATCCAACTCCTAACTTTATTATGAAAACTTACCTCTTCGTTAAATATATTTGTAGTACTCAATCAAATATGATAAATAAAACTCGTCTTAAAGTATTGCAAGTACGTCAACAAATGCTTGAAGAAGTATTTAATGAGACAGTAAGTCAACTTAATAAAGTATCACAAGATGAAGTTAAATACCGTGATCTTTTAAAAAATTTGATCTTACAAGGATTATATCAACTTATGGATGATCAAGTTAAAGCTATTGTTAGAAAATGTGATAAAGAATTAGCTAATAATGCTATTCAAGCTGCTGCTAAAATTTATAAAGAATCTACTAAAAGAAATATTAACGTTGAACTTGATAAAGAAAATAATTTACCTGATGATTGGTAAGTATATTTTAATCTAATTTTATTTTATTTTAAAATTTATATAAATCTGATATTTATATTTAAAATTTTGACGATATTTAGTGCCGGTGGTGTTATTTTGACATCTCATTTTGGTCGTATAAGAATTAATAATACTCTTGAAGAAAGATTAACATTGGCTCAAGAGGAGGTAAACATTATTAACATTATTATTTCATATCATTACTGAATATTTTGATGACGACTTAAATATCATATAAACTAATTTTTCCAAATAAATAAATTTATAGTTGCTTCCTGAAATTCGTGTTTTACTTTTTGGTCCTTCACCAAATAAAAAACACAACCATTAACTTAACAATTATTTAAATTAAAGTATTCTCTCTCTCTCTCTTTTTTTTATATTATTTAAGCTTTTCTTTATATCGTAATTATATTAATTATATTAAGTATAATTGAGTTTGGTATCAGATTTTTATTATAAACATAATTATAAAGTAATTACAGTAAAAATAAAAAAAAAATGAAATGAAATGAAAAAAGAACAGCTATATAAAAGTAATGGTTGTACTCGTTGTTCATTTTGTTCATTTTAAATGCTATAAAATAAATATTTATAATTTCTCACTAGGTAAATCAGTAATATCGACAACTTGGTCAGTACCGGGATAAAGTGGAAGATTTAATTCATATTTTTCTTTCAATCCTCTATAAGTTTATAATTTTATGTTAATTCAAAAAAAAAAAAAGTCGTATAAATTTAAATTACTTACGGAGGAATAAATCTACCACCAAGAAAATGTTTACCGTTAAAATAATTTGCACATAATTTTGGTGCCGTTAAAGAAATTAACATTGATGGTTTTAAACCGTGATTATTAACGTTGCCTATAAAATAAGTCGATACAAAATAAAACGGGAAGTAATTCAAGTAATTCAAGTAATTCACAAAAATGAAATCTTCATATCTATAATAACTAAAATAATTACAAAATAATTACCTTTCTCTACATCCCAACCTGATGGAATATCAACTATATTAAAAAAGTAAGTTCGCGTAAATTAGAGGTATAAGAAAATATCATAAGATAATTATTTATTTTTATTTTTATTTTTTTTAAAAAAAAACTCTATAAACCTGATACAATAGGAGGAATATTCGTTACTTTCAATTTCTATTAAATCAAATAAACTTAAGTTTAAATCTCTCATTTCAATTTGACTAATTCACGACCAGTATATATTTACCTGAATAACTTCGTCAAAAGGAGGTCTGATTTCACCAGTAAAACTAAATCCAAATAAAGCATCAACAATTAAGTCATTATCATTTGTTAATGAAGAATTTGACAATTCAGTTACAATAGGAATTTCAAGACTTTGACATTGAATAACTAATCTCTGGGAAATTAATAGTTATTATAAATTAATCTTTCTTTTGAGTAAAAAAAGAATGACTTTACAATCAAATTATATATTTACTTCATATAATTCTTTTTTGCTCTGTTTAGGATAAAATATGTTTGGCTTATAACCAAAATGAAATAAATGACGTGCCGCTACAAGACCTATCCAAACCATAATGTTTGAAATATTTACATAATTACTTCACGTAAGATAAAGAAAATAATTACCATCACCACCATTATTTCCTGGTCCACAACAAATCAATACACGAGAATATTTAGAATTATCATAAACTTTTGTGATGGCTTGTGCAACACTTAATCCTGCTAATTCCATAAGCTGTAATTATATTAACCGAACAGTTAATTTTATGATAGTATACATGATTTAAGAATTTAAAAACGAAATTATAATTACCTGATCCACCGAGAATCCACCCGAAGAAAATAATTCTTCGTCGATCGCTTGTGCAATTTTTTGAGTAAGAAACTTAATTCATTATTATAATTTATGATAATAATAAAATATTAAATTGAACTTATTTAAATATATGAAAAACAAAAAATAAAAGTTCAACGCGTTTTGCAATAAAAAGCTTTCTTAAAGTTTTTTTTACCTTCAAAGCCATTATTCGTTTACACAAATTCTTGCATCATTCGGATTTACAAATTGCCTTGCATGATTTTTTTATAAAAAATTATGCGTCACCCGAGAATTCGGTTGAAAGTTGTGTACCAATAGCTTATTTTTTAAATAATGGTATTACAAAAGTTTCAGTTTTTTTTTTATTGTGAAAAAAATGTCGAGTGTGACGGAACATTCACTCTTTTATACCATTTTTCAAAATCTAGTTTCCATTTCTCGTTTCAAATAAAATCTTAAGTCTCTCAATCGCTTCTATAAAAAAAAAATGGCAACAAATAAAATTTCCGATCAACAATTACAAGCATTCTTTAGTCGCATAGACGTTGACAATAGTGGTACCTTAACTCCACTAGAACTTCAACGCGTACTATTAAATGGAGATTGGTCACCGTTTAATCTAGACACAATAGAATTACTTTTTTCTTTATTTGATCACGATAGAAATGGTACTATAAATTTTAATGAATTTATAGGTTTATGGCGTTATATCGAAGAATGGAAACGTTTATTTACAACTTTTGATAAAGACAATAGTGGTGCTATTGAAATTCCCGAGTTAGTTAATGCTATGACAAGTTTTGGTTTTAATATTAGTGAACAAATGTTAAAAAAATTTGTTAGAAAATATAAAATAACTTATAATGTTGGAAGTAGAAAATCTATGTTAAATAATTTAGATGAATCTGTTTCTTTTGATAATTTTGTTCAATTATGTGTTACAGTTAAAACTTCTGCCGACATTTTTCGTGCTTTTGATCAAGCTGGTACCGGTTGGGTTAAAATGAATTATGAACAGTTCATGGAAGTCATCCTTAAAAATTAATAAATAAAAGATCAAAAAGTAAACTTTTTAAGGTATCACGGAAAGATCGCAAAGATCGCAAATTACATATACGATCCTTGTATTATTTACTTATTATAATAAATTTCAAATAAAATCAATTTGGATTCTTTTATTTCAAAGATATAAACGTCCTAAAACAATTATTATTCACTATATATATATAATAGCGTAAAAAATAGAAAAAGAAAGTTATATTTATTTTATATTTATATTTATTTTTATTTTTTTTTTCTTTTTTTCTAAAAAAAAAATTATCCTGCAAAAAAAAGAAACCAAGAAGAAAATATTTTCTTGCAAATTTTCTTGAATATACACTCCTTGTGTTTCTGATCTTTTAAAAAAAAAGATTTATACTTTTCTTTTTCAAATTTCTACCGTCTTTTAAGTAAATGAAAAGAGAAATTGGCAGGTATAATTGAAAAAAAAACAGTAACACAAATATTATAACTCAAGAAAATTTTGCCTTAAGAATAGCGAGTTATTTGGTTTGAAAGTCAAGATTATAACATATACATATGATATAAATTTAATTATCAAATTTATACAAAATATGTATACATCTTGACTTTACTATTTACAATAAAAAACGATAACAAAATAGAATAAATATCTCATTATACTTACCGTCCAGCATAAGAATATCTAGAACTCCAGCTTTCAATACTTGATTCACACAGACTATTTTTAAGTGCAGTTATGTCTTGTTGTGAATAACTTCCCATTAATATTTTTGCTACCACAATGTAAGCCTCATCAGTTTTGAGGCATAAAGGCGCATTCACTTGTAGTGGAAGACGGTCTGTGGTGAGCGTCTTTAAAAATAATCGTGATTCTAAATAAAAAATATAAAATATATAAAAGAAAAATGTATATATATGTATATATATGAGAATTAGACAATTAAACGATGTAGAATCTTATATTATATTACATACCAAGATTATCCACAAATACAATTAAATTGTCATTTTTGCCCAAATCCACTTTTCTTATCAATGTGGGAGGACTTAGCCGACCAAGTTCAGGACTTAAAAGTAATACTCTACCAAGACTCTCTTTATCAAGTGCAGGTTGTAATTCTTGTCTTACAACTTTCTTTACGTCGGCAATGTCGGCATTATATGATACGTAAACTTTAACAGGGTCGGCATGTTGAGAATGTTTTACCCATATAACAAGTTGTTTCTCTTGTATACTACCTCCAGAGTTACCACCACCTCTTCCACAACCAGTTATCATAAAATAATGCCACCCAATAAATATAATTAAAAACCAAAATACATAAAACATAATATTGGTTGGATAAGGTGGTGGTCTCATTTTTCCAGAATTATTTGTCACTCTGGATTGAAATTCTCCACTACTTAACGATACCATTTCGTTTATCTCGTAATTGTTTTGTTGTTGAATTTGAGAGACGAAGTATTAAGAACTCTCCTTTATACGTTTACTTTCAAATCGTCATTTTATATTATCTGTTTCATACTGCGCCGGAATCTTGTATTAGATGCTGCTATTCCGTAATGATAGCGGATTTACAATGAAAAATTTGATTTATAAGATAAGAACACTATTTGGAGTTACTCGAACTTAATCACATTGTTACTCAGACTTCTGAATTAAAAAATTATATGTTTGTGGCGCAGATTCATCCGAGGACTTACGCAATGGCCAGCAGGGACAGGCCTAATTTTACCTAATATAGAAATCCGCAGTACTGATCATTTATAATCACGCCCAAAGTTGCCGGCGAAATGATAATGTCGGTCAGGCAGCCAAAATTGTTGAATTTTTTTTTTGGATCTTAATATTTTTAATGAGGTTCTTTAACGTACAGTGAGGGTGTAAAAATATTAACGTACAAACTGGCCCGAGTTTAGGAGTTATGCCCTTGCACGTGATAGCGTTAACGTTAACTTCGGCCAGTTCGTACATTAATATCGTACGCCCCCACTGTACATTAAGGAATCCCACTTTTAATAACTTGTCTAATGGAACATGGATTTATAATGATATTTTGTATTTTGTATTTGCCATAAATTTAAAATTTAACAAATCATATTATTTTAATTAATTTTATAATTATTTATATTAAATTCATTATTTTTTATCTTGTTTCAGGATTTAATCTAAATCTAATATGTAGGCTAATTAATAATTTATATATATATTACTTTTTTCAGTATTTTGCTTTAATTTTCTTTTCCTTAATCTTAATTACAGAACTCTACTTACTTATAGTAAGAATTTCAGAAATATAAAGTAAATTTATATCAAAAAAAAATTTTTAGGTTTCTAGTTTTAAAAGTAAATTTAAATTGGTTGAAATCCTATTAATAAATCATACTACGTGTAAAAATAAATTTAAATAGGAATTTTTTATAAATCTTAGTATATACTATATATTAAGATAAATTTATTTATAATTTTAATATTTACTTATATATATTAATAAAAATATCAATTGCTACTAATTTTACATATTATATAATAAGTATACTATGTAATATATTAGATTATTTTTAAAAAAATAGGTATTATTTTTATGATTTTATCTTAACTTATTATCACAATTACATTAATAAATAAAATATAATAAAAATAAAATAATAAATGATACAAAATTTTAAATTTTATCACTTTTAACCCATAATATTCTAGTATATTATTATTATTTATTTATTAGTAATACTTTTAAATATCAAATTTATAAGAATTGTTTTTAAAAAGTATTTAAGTTAAATTAGTTATTTAATAGAATTCTAAATGTATTTATTGCTGTTTTCTAATTACTGTGATCTAGCATTATTTAATAAAAAAAAAAAATTTTGAGAAAACATGTGAAAATAAAAATTTTATTGCATTTTCAAATAAAGAAGGTATGATTATAAGCTAAAAATTATAATTTTAAGAAAAAATTTTCAATTTTTAAATAAGTTTACTTATAAGTAACTTTTTAAATTTTGTGTAATAAATCGTTTTTAAAAAAGTTATTTATAAGCAAACTTATTTAAAGATTGAAAATTTTTTCTTAAAATTATAATTTTTAACTTATAATCATATCTCCTTTATTTAAAAATGCAATAAAATTTTTATTTTCACATGTTTTCTCAAAAAATTTTTTTTTTTATTAAAAAATGCTAGATCACAGTAATTAGAAAACAGCAATAAAATAAGTCATAAGTTATATTTTAAAGTAAATATGCCATAGTGGTTTTATCTTTATTAATAATTTTACAAAAGTTTACAATAAAAAAAAATATATAATAAACAAACTAATAAAATACTAACTAGCATTATATCATAAATTTATTTTAGTAAATGGTAACCATTATCACTAGTAATATTTAGTAATACTCTTATATTTATAATCAAAAATTTTATTTTATAAAATTATTTTTTTACAAGTAATAAAGTAAAAACAAAATTTTCATAAAAATATATATTATTAGTAACTATTTGGTTAAATTGATACTTTAAAACAATAAGTCCTTCTGATTTTCTTAAAATTTCTGGTTTATTAATTAGAAGTGTAGTGATAAAACCAATATTATTAAAAATAATATAAAAGTTGGTACTAAAAAAATCAATAATATAAAAAATATTTATTGTGGTAAAATAACAAGAATTTTATTTTTCAGATTTCTAAATTTTAGTATATAATAAAAAAACTGATAAATTCCATTTTTATCATTTAAATGCAAATATATTTGAATAAAAAAGCTAACTTTTAAAATCTTAATGCTTTTTTTATTTTTTAAGAAAATTAGTTACAAATATTAATTTTTTAAAAAAAACTGTAATATGAAATTTTGTAAATTAAAATGAATGCAAAGTTCAAAACCAATGGAAAAATAAACACCAAAAAATTTTTTGAATATACAAACATCTCAAATCCTATAGTACACAAGCTTACAATAAATTACCAGATTTCTTTAAAAATGCTTGGTAATTTTCACATTGCATAAAAATACATAAGTTTTTGATGAAATCACTCAATTTTTTTTTTATTTGAAAGATAATCCTTCGTAGATTTTATATCTTAAATAAAAAAAAAATGTTTATAAGATATAAAAAAAATTATCTGATTATAAAATATGATACCTTTTTGAGGTTATTTTATATATTTATTTGCACATAGATAACTTTTAAAATTTCAAATATGTCAACCATTTTTATTTGCATTTTTAACAACTACAATTGATTATCTTTCAAATAAAAAAATAATAATTATAATCTGTTAAAATTTGACAGACTTGTATATATCTTAAAAAATGCCTATTTTACTATATTTTACTATTATTTTTCAAGTTTATTAGTAATTTTCAGTAAAATTGGCATTTTTCTAGATATACAAAAGTCTGTCAATTTTCAATAGATTTTAATAAATTTTTAAAAATGTTATATAAATGACATTCTAAAACCTATCTATGTAAATAAATATACAAAATAATTCTAAAAAAGGCTGTCATAATTAACAATTAGACAATTTTTTTCCATACTATAAAATATCCTTTTTTTATTTAAAATTTAAAATCTACAATGGACTAGCTTTCAAATAAATAAAAATTTGAACGATTTCATCAGAAATTTATAAACTTTCATGCAATATGAAAATTACCAAGCATTTTTAAAGAAATCCAGTAATTTATTGTAGTCTTGTGTATTTTATGCAAAAAAATACATATTTATTTAAATCAGTAATAAAAGATTTTAATCTAAAAAAAAAATACAATTTTAAGCTTAACTATTAAATTAAATTTCAATCATTGACAAATCTACAGGTTTATAATTTCATTATGTATTATATATAATATTCATAATTTTATAATTTTTTAGCCAAAAAGCTTTTTTTACTTATTAATATATATACAAGCACAAGGTTTCTATAAAATTTAGTCTGGACCTCATGACATTAATACTATTATTATACATATAATACTTTTGAATTATATTGTATACAAGTTATTGTTATCCCCAAATTTTCAAGAATACTAGAATCTAATGATTGTTCTCTTGAAAAGTCATTTTATATACTGTATAAACCATAATTTTTTGTAAAATATTTAGCGGATATTATGTGATGTATAGCAGTTAACCAATGTCTCCAAAGATATCATTATCCAACAAAAGAGCTTTGAGGTCATGCCAAGACATCGGAATTGTAATCCTAACTTCCCCAGAGGGGGCTCTTTTCGCCATGAATATGCCATGAAAATAAAAATCTTCCAAGTAACGTCGGAAAGTCTTCTCATCATTGCATATCGAATTTTCCAAGCAATATTTGAACAACGTGTTAAAGTCCAAACTATCCCCATTTGCTTCACTTCTTCTGGTAGCTGTAACAATGTGATCTGCCAACATGGCAAACATTCCACGACGGTATGTATTCCATGATGATAACACCAATTTTAATTCTTTTCTCTTCAATCGATAATCTTTTGTAGCCTTCTCTTTGCTTGTTACCGTAAATTTGTAATTACTAAGCTTTGTTACTTCGTGAGTATGCCAATTCATTTTGTCTTCTGCATTAACGTACCATCCGAGGCAAGAACTGACATTTTCACTCGTAGCGAGGAAGTGTATATTTGGAATATCACCGAGTAAATTCAACGCATATCTGGCATCGACACTTTGAAACACGTAACCATCTATATTATGGACCTAATTTTAAACAAAAAAATAGTGATTATTCATCTCGTTAAAAAAGTCAAAAACTAAATAATGCTCACTATTATTTTGAATTTTATCCTCGAAACAACATCGTCATAATAATTGCGGATGCCAAGTGCTTTCCCGATTAAAGTATGATTTTTAAAAATATGATCAGGGCCGAGTATCTTGTCCAACAACATTAAATAGGCATCATTCATGTCTGTTAAGTCACCGCTTCCGTCAAAATGAATCCAAGTGACATTCTCATTTTTATTATCGAAGGCCTGATATGTCTCCAGAATGTGCTCCTTCGACCCAAATCCGTAAAGCAGGACATTTATGTTAGAATTTAGCTCAATCTCCCATTTATTGAAATGCCTAGTAATGTGATGATCAAGATTTTGGAGTTCTTTTGCGTATTTAATTTCAGTAAAAGAAGGTAATACTTTGACATTGAGCGAACTTGGCATGTCAGCCGACAATTTTTTTACTCTGATTCTTTTTTGTTGAGTTGCATTATCTTCAAAAGATCTCTCGGATCTAGTTGACGCGTCTTGTTCGCATAGAACAGATTGATTTGATCCCTCAAGCATTGTGAGATCGACAATCTCATAGTCTACATTCTTTGGTCCCCTTTTTATTAGCTTGGGAACGACATTAAAGGGGGAAACTAAATCTTTCGAAATGGGCTCGGGAGTCCTCAAGCTAGCCTCATCTGTAAGATTTTCCGAAGCACGCTCAGGTGTCATCATTCGGAGAACTTTTTTTCCATTTGCCATGGCGAGAAGACTTGCCACCGCATCTAACTCTTTTTTCTCCTCTCGCGTCTCTTTAAAGCTTTGGAGCCGTCGTCTCTTTTCTCTTGTGAACGGTTTGCCCACATCTTTGGGCTCTATGACGACACTTACAACGTTACCCTTCAATTTCCTAATATGTCTTGTTGGGGTTATCTCATCCCAAGGTTCCCACACGGAATTATTTTCTTCAGTAGCTATTTCCAGTTCTTGCATAATTTGAGGTTCGTTTTCTTCAAGCCTTTCTATGAACTCATTCCTCTTGCGCTTAGCACCTCTACGAGACTTTCTGGGCAAAAAAGGATTCTCTAATTCAACCCGTTTTATCTCAGTCTGACTTGTAGACATTCCTCTTCGTCGTTGTTTAAGTCTTTCAGCTATATTATTACCCTCTACAGAGGATAAAGTCGGGAGAGTCTCGTTGTTGTCGATAAGAAGAGCTTTAATTTCTCTTTTTACTTTTTGATTTCGGGACATATTGGATTATTTAATAAAAACATTAATCGTCCTATAATAATTGTATTTAATTATCGTTCTTGCAGTCGCCTGTATGACTTTCAAAAGCGAAGTGCGATTTTTTTTATTTTGATCAACAAAAAACGAAAATCTAGTGTAGCACCAATTGTACAAATTAGGATAACGTGTTGTTATGGGACACAGTATTTTGAAATTTCTAAGTACATATGCGTGCTTATTTCATCTTTAGATTGTGTTATTTTAACATAATATAAAATGAACGAGAATAAAGTGTAATTATATCGATTTACATAAACTATTAACAAAAAAAAAAATCCTTGGTAATGCACAAGAGATTAAAATTTGATATAACGAATCCCTTGGAGTTCAGAACGCCTTTTAAATATAACGAACAATTATTTATTAAACACTATTTTATGTATGGGAACTTAGCTCATTTTGTGTGTAGTTATCACTATTAAGTATGATATATTACATTACTTACGAATACTTTTTAGTAAATAAAAACGACGAAAATAAGTTTTTGGTCCCTATTTTATACTCTTCGTATGAATTTACTATAGAAAGTTATACAATTTCGGCACTCTATTATGTTACGAGAATATGGTCATTATTATTTTGTTATTAATCATATTGATCCATAAACCCATCTACTATTAACTTTTTGTGCCATTATTTTCATGGGAGGTAATTCCCAATTTTTTGGGCCAAAACTTGGAATTACGTAAGCCAAATTTTCTGTATCTTTATTCCTTTTCGACCTAATATTAAAATTTAATATTAAAGAATGTAAATTGAAGTAAAGTATAAATAACAATACGTACTTGCTCGTTGGAAGTTCAACAGGTTTAGAAAATGTACATAAAGATCTACCAAGTTTTGATAGCCAACTTGATTCAACAATAGTAACACCTGAAAATTCGCCAAATAACATAAGTATTCTTTCTTTTAAAATTTGAAATATGATCAAAAGTTTCTTTCACCTTTCATCCAAACTTTACTTGTTTTATATAATTCTTGATATACAACAAAGTCTGGTGGTTTGTTGTGAAATAATACAGAAGTAGGATGGATAAATACATTATCATTGCCCCACATTGTGCAATATTCGACATTTCTTGTTGATGAAAATATTTTTGATGATTTATCTATTAGTCCTTTACGTATTGCTATTTGATCAATAAATCCTGCTGTAATAACTTGTCTTATTGCTTTGAGCTAAAAACAGCATTCAAGAAATAACACATTAAAAGGAAATTCTAATAAATCAAATAAAAATTGCACTAAAATCCTACCTGAATAGTTGATGGAGGCTTCATTTTTGGATCTAAACAGACATCAACTCCGGGACAATTCATTTGTATAATATTCGTTATTTGTCCCCTTAATTTACGTATTTCCTCCATTGCCTTTAAAAAAAAATTTTTTTTGAGATAACCCATAAATTTGATAAATGGCACTTAATAACAATATATATTATACCTTAGGACGAACAAAATTACATTCACAAAATTTGTCCGTGCCTCCTTCATATTCGTATGCTCCCACAACATTAAGTAATTTTAATAAGTCACTAGTTGGGTCAAGCCCAGCATGTTTCTAAGATGATCAAAAAGAGAGTTATAGTGTTTAATATTATACAATCATATTATATAATCAATAGCCAGATTTATATGTACCTTCTGCACATCATAGAACTTTTTTCTGATTAATTTTTGACGTTCTTTTTGCAAAATAGCTTCTTCACTTAATTTATTTAATTCATTAGATCGAACTTCTTCATATTCTTCCTCTTTCACATCATCATCAGAATTCGTACTATTATCTAGATGGTAATCCTTAATGAATGGGTCAACAACGGATAAAGCAGAAACAATAGCAATAATATAAGGTAAACATCCATGTTGTTGTCCGATTATCAACATTTTAGAAAATCTTGGTGCAATTGGAAATGTTGCCATAGTACGACCAAGTTCAGTTATTCTACCATCTTCATCCAGCGCATTCATGTATTGTAATAACTTCTCAGCTTTACGCAAACGATCACGATCAGGAGGAGTAGGAAAAGGAAAATTATTTACAGTATCTATATTCATCGCCTTCATTTGTAGTACTATTCCTTCAATTGGCATACGATGAATTTCTGGTACTGTGAATTGTTGAAATTGATCATTGAATACGGCCGAAGAAAAGAGTCGATAACAATGCCCAGGGCCTGTCCTTCCTGCACGTCCAGCACGTTGGTCAGCTGATGCCTTTGAAGTCCAATCAACCACATATGATTGTACTCCAGTTGCCACATCGTATCGACGTCCTTTAACTTTTCCACAGTCTACAACATATTTAATACCAGGAATAGTTAATGAAGTCTCAGCAACATTAGTTGCAACAACGCACAGACGTGTTCCTTCCGGCGGTGGTTCAAAAACACGCAACTGAGCATGAGTAGATAATAATGAATACAATGGAAGTACGTATAGTGGTCTGGCTATGTTAAAAAGAAAAAAAGGGTTCAATAAATTATTTATGAAATGGAGTTAAAAAAAAAATGTAATATAGTTTACAGTGTTCATCCATTATCATTTCATCATTTTCCAAATTTTCTTCAAAATCTTCAGAATCAGTATCAAGTAATTCTGTTTCTTCCAATTCTTCTTCACCGATATCCAAATCTTCAATTTCAAAATCAGCTGTAATTTGTGCCGTAATTTAAATAATTTGAATTATTTAAAATATTTGTAAAGAATATTTTAACATAACAAATTCACCTTCTTTAGAATTTAAACTTTCCCTTTCTTGTTCAACTTCTCTAAATGTTTTTTCTTTTTCCAGCATCTGCTTGCTATTGTATTGATTTTGCATTAGATAAGGAAACTTCCTACGAAATTTCTTGCAAAGAAGAGTAATTTCGTCTTGGCCAGTCAAGAATACAAGAATTCCTAAAAAAAATGACAAAAAAATTCAATAAATTAAATTTACGAAAGAAAATATTCAGGAAACGTTGCAACCAACCTCCATGTGGAAGTTTAGTGTGGATTTTGCAAACTTTCTTAAATGCCTCACTAACATAGTCAAAATTTGGAGTCCGCTTGTTGAAATGAATTGAAACCTAATAGAACAAATAAGATTAGATATTTCTCATTTAAAATATAAAATTACAAGTTTTCACCTACAGGAAATTGACGCGTATTGACATTAATAACCGGGGGAGCTACGTCAAATAGATTTTTATTTTGTGTAAAATCAGAGACACGTAAAGTTGCCGACATAATAATAACTTTAATTGGCTAAAGAATTATATAATTAATATTAAAAAAAGACCAAATTTCTCTTTTATCTGTATTTAAATACCCTAATTTTGCTCCCATCTTCTTTGCTTAATTCGGCTCGTAATTTGAGTACACGACTTATAGCACCAATCAAAATATCAGTATTTAAGCTTCTTTCATGTGCTTCATCAATTATGACTGCTGAGTATTTTGATAAAAGAAAATCATTGGCGAGTTCACGAAGCAAAACGCCATCAGTCATAAACTTGATAACAGTTTTTGGTGATACTGTCGCATCATAACGAATCTGCACAAATTTGATCAAAGTTTATATTAATTTACATAACATTTTATTTTGTGTTAATATATTCTAATAAAAACCTGGTAGGAAACTTCTTGTTCACTTAATGACAATTCCTGTGCTACACGTTTCGACATGCTTACAGCTGCAATACGTCGAGGTTGTGTTATACCAATTATCCCAGGATTATCTAAATATTTAATAATAAAAGAGATGGTGAATCTAAAGATAAAAGATTGTGATGATAATTGACATTTACATACCACTATCCTTATTGCCATATCCAGCTTCGTATAAAAACTGTGGTACTTGAGTTGTTTTGCCAGAACCAGTCTCACCACATATAATTACTACAGGATTATTGCTTATTGTTTCCATTATTATTTGTTCTTCAGCGCAAATAGGAAGTTCCATTCTGGCTTCTTGTATTTCTTGGTTTCTTTTGACGGGAATATAGAAGGCCTTAAAAATAATGAATCTGAAATTAGGTTGATGGATAAAATTTACCATATCTTGAAATATCTAAATACCTTCTTAACAGTTTTTTCATTATCACCTATATTTCCATGAGTAATGTCAATTCCATCTTGGATTAAACAGGTTTCAACATCTTTCTTTTTCTGCTGTAGGTTTGTAGGTTTCGATTGAGAAATTATACTAGGTTCATGTATAGTATTTTTATTTTCATTATCTTTTGGTTTAATGCCCATTTGCTCTGTTGCCCATTGTTTGAATGATTGCTCTTTTAATTTTTCACTTATTGCACTTATTGCAGCATCAGAATTTTTGGTTTCTTTGTCAGTATCATACTGAGAGTCTGAGCTATCAAAAGAATCTTCTTCTAACGTTGACTTTTGTATTGTCTTTACCTTAATAAGTTAAATAAACATAAAAAATCAGAGTTATAATTATTAACAGGTAAATCCCTGTAAGAATGAGAAAATTTACTTGTTTTTTCTTTATCTTCTTTTTCTTCTTTTTCTTAATGGGAACTGTAAACTCTCCATTCGGAGCTCGTTTAAGGGCATTTCCCACAATAACACTTTGATTAATAATTTTTTGATCATTATTCAGTTCCTTAGAATCAGGAAGTATGCTTGAAGAATTATCTTTGATAATCTTGGTACTGTTTCCGTTCATCACGTGATCTTCCTTTTCTTCATCCTCATCCTCATCCTCATCCTCTTCCTCTTCTCTCTCATTCACGAACAAAGGAACGCTAAGATCAGACTGAGGTAATCTCAAACGTTTCTCATTATAAGCCTTACGAAGTCGTTCCTTCATAGTCTCTTTCTATTAGGCAAATATAATTTCAACAATATATAAAAATAACAATTAACCGGAATTCTTTTAATCTTACCCTTCTACCCAAATTTTTACTTGATTTCATCAATTCTGATGAAAATGAAGATTTTGAAAGTTTCTCTATTAGCATAACGCGTTCTTCCTTTTTAATTTTTTTCTCCTGTAAAAAATTTTTTCTTTAAGGCCTGTTAAGTAATATTGTAGCAAATTTACAAATTTGAGAGGTAAATTTATGGCTTACAATATATTTCTTTAACCTTTTCTTTTTTTTACTCGACATTTTCTTGATCGTAGGATCCATTTCGCTAATTTAATTACGATTGACTTTTTTTTAACTATACTAACTATAGCAGTTCTCGGATCACATCAGTTTTTCAAATATTTTTTATCCAATAATAGTTTTGATTACACATGCTCGTGTGAATGTTTGAGTAGCAAGCTAGTCATCAGATCGATGATCCAAAACGTAGTAGTAAATGAAATTCTAAGTCATGAGCGAGACAGAATTACCACAAGATCCAACCCAACTTCAAGTTCTCGCTCGCCAGCAGGCGAAAGAATTGAAAGAGCTTCGAGAACAATTGAATGCTAGTCATACAGAGAAAATTTCGGTAAGCAATCGCGTCTACATTCAGTGGTTCTTTTAGCTCTTTTCTATTACAGGAACGCTAATTTATACCATATAAATTAACTATTTATTTCCATACGTTTTATAAATATATGTACTTTTTGTCAACTTTCATTTATTGAATTCCACCTTTTGATACAATTTAAAGGATCGCGCTAAAGCTCTGCAGCAAGTTGAACAAAGTGAAAAAAGCATTACCAAATCCCTTCAAGAACAATTGAATTATGTGAGAATCTTTTTTTATTCCTTTATATCCTATCTAATATCTAATGATGAGCGCTTTTTATTCTCTTATTATTAAGGCCAGACAAGAGAAGGCAAACTTGGAAGCATCGATGGAAGCTCGCGCTAAATCATTTCAGAGTACTTTGTCTAAATTACAAATTAATCAATGGTTAGTTTAGAGAGGGTGGATAATGTTTCTTTTTTGTATATATCTTTAGGTTTGATACGTGAAGGATATATTGAATGTTTCGTATTCTTTACGACATGCATTCTTTGTTACATTTTTTTTTCAGACGCGTTTTTTAAAAAAATAGATAGATTTTATATTGCAAAGTTTTTTAGAGGAAATTTACTGAAATTTAGGGATTAATAAATTTAAAATTATTAGTGAAGTCAGTTCAGAAGTACCGCCTTCACCAATTCCCACTGATACACAAAAATTAGTTTTGGAATCTGAAGATCCAATCGTTTTAAAACAGGAACTTCAAAACGCATACGAGCGTATTCGACAACAAGAATTAGATATTAAGAAACTCAAATTTGAAGTTGAAATGGAACAAGGCCATGTCAATATTTTAAGACATGATAATCAAATGTTAAGACGGATGACAGTCGACATGGTAGGTAGTTTTGTGGTATCATGATTTTTACAATTATAAAGTGTTATATTTTATACATAATACATTCCCTCTTAGCATGCATCTGCTGAACAAGAAGAAGAATACATTTCAAATAAATTACTGAAACGTATTTCAGGACTTAAGAAAGAGAAAGGTGAGTTACTCCTCCAAGTTGAACAAGAGGAGGAGTATCTTACCAATACTTTACAAAAGAAACTGAACCAAGTAAGTCCTCTAATATACAAATTACCACAATAACAATAATCATTTAAATAAATTATGATTATACGATTTTTATTCAGTTGCAAAAAGAAAAAATTGATATGGAAAATGCTCTTGAACAAGAACAAGAGTATATTGTCAATCGACTTCAAAAGCAACTTGATTCATTGCGTCAGCAACAGACGTATCATCCACATCATTCACGCGAGAATAGCACTTCTTCAACTTCTAATCCTGGCAATATTACTCCTTTGCCACCTGCATCTCCATCTTCGACGTAGGTGATTTTTACTTTTTGATATTTGTAACGTAGTTGCTTATGAATTTAAATCATTTTTCATATTAAAGTCACAAAAAGTGGGTAACTGCGCATTCTTCTTCTCCCACTTCTCCTGATTTTGGTCTCGCTTCTCCTGGTGTAGTTGAAGTACTGAAAGCAGAAGTTAACACGCTTAGGACTAAAATTTCAGAGATGGAAAAAGAATGTGAGTCATTTTAATACATTTGGAATATTGTTCGTTTATTTGATTAAACATAAAACTTTCATGTTAGATATTGCGAAATCCAGTCAAACAACTCGATTAAAGAATGAATTAATTGAATTGAGAAAGAAATCCGGATTACCAGTAGAAGATTTATTGACAGAAGAACCGTAAGATGGAGATTTGAATTTCTTTGTACAACTGTTTCAAAGTATGTACAATTGTTTATTCAATTTATTTTTCTCTTCAGTGTACCCGCTTTTCTAAGGCATAATAGCAATCCGAGAAATGTAAGTACAATTTACTGGCTTCCTCATTGCCATGGATGCTTTCGCCTTTTGATTGTGTCTTAATTTCTTTGAAAATAGACGCGGAGATCAAACTCGAATACGCACAATTCGACACCAAACCTTGTCCGAGGTCGATCGGTGTCTGCAGGTGATGTTAAATCCGCGCTTCCAAATGCAGTCAGTTTAGGTTCACAGGGTAGTATCCAAGCCTCACGGTCACGTAGCGGTAACGTGTTAACTTTAAGTTTTATAATTATTAAAAACAAGTTCAGTTTTTTATTTATCACAATCTCTTAGTGTCGGCAACTCTCAATCAAGCACCCAGCATCGGAAACTCATCTCAATCGGAATCTTTATCATCACCAAGTGGTCCTTCCCAGGATTAATTATCTTAATAATAATATCTAAGTTTTATAATTTTTTACTTAGGGAGTTGTTGATTTTAGTACATATTTTCATGTTTTTTAAAGGAATCGAAAGGTGAAGAACGAGGTTTAAGATGAATTATAGCATAGAATAACAAAATTACGATATCAGCACTTCCTATCTTAGCAAAATAATAGAACAATTGGTATAATTATTTTTTGCTAAATGATCTCTCGAAACATTCTAAAAAAACAAAAAAAGTTATTACCAAATATATTCTTTCAATATCGTAGAATTTAAAATTTTATATTGAGATGGTGAAAAAAATTCATCCATAAAATAATATCATTTTAAATGTTTAAATGTATAATTTCAGCTTTTTCTTGTATTTTAATAAAGTATTATAATTTACAAAATTGTGTTTTCAATTTTTCGATTGAATTAATTATTGGCCACTTCCGCAGTATGTTCAACCCCCCACGTGACCTAAAAATATTCATCACCGGCATTTGGACGTTTTAAATTATTTTTTCACGTCCGTTAAATGTCACCGGTCACGTGGGTAGAATTTAATTATAGTGGTGTTACAACAGAGACCCGGATTTATTCCGATATTAAATCGCAAATTTTTATCACGATAACGAAAAAAATTCCGATTTTATTCCGATAAAAAATTACCAATTATAGTAAGAAACATTTGATAATTCTAGCCGGCCTACATCTTAATGCAGGCCAACTTAGGTTGCGCTAGTGACACGACAATAATTTTTAGTCAAAAACTGTATAGATATTACAAAATTGCAAAATCACATTTTTTTAGTTAGACTTCTATCACGATATAGTCAATAAAATATGCAATAATGATTGGCTAGTTGTCACGTGCCGGAATAAAATCATAAAAATTCCGTTTTATTCCATAATACAGCAAAAATTCTGATTTATTCATTTATTATAAAAATGGAATTTTCCCGGGTTTTTTTTTTAAATTTTTTTATTTTTAAATCCACGTGAACTAGATTACAGAAAGATAGACAAGAACAAAAGATAAAACAAAAGTCAAACGCTATCTAATACTATGCTATAATCAAACCGCCCGAAGACGGCGCCACTCTGGTTGGAATTTTCCCGGGTCTCTGTGTTACAACTAAATACTAATATTTAAAGCATCACGTGATAACCAATTCGTTATTAAACAGACTAACCAAATTATATTAGTTAGCGAACTAAAAGGAATTTTTGCCGATGATCTGTTAATTCTGTTATGCACTCTAAAAATTAGTACTATAATGACATGCATACTGAATTAATGCAAGACATGCAAATCATGTATGACAACATAAAAATATTGACTTTATAATTGGTTCTTTCTAATGTTACAAATTGATTTTTTTTTTCGGTCCGTTTTTTTCGCGCCAAACTCTAAATTAAGATACCTTTTATAGTAAAGTGTTAATTAAAGAATGGAATAATGCAGGAGATTTTTTATTATTCAACCCGATTTTCAAATAATAAACAAATGTATTTTGTAATTAATATTTATATTTTGTAACTAGAAATCATAATATGCTTGCGTTTAAGGTATAATCAATTTATATTTTCTTTTCTTTCTTTATTGTCTTTTCTCATAACGAAAATTTCGCGTTTTAAATTTAATTTTACAAAAAGTTAATTCGTTATATGTATGCTTTCTGCGACGATAAATAAAAATATATATACCCAAAGCTAAGTGATGGAAGTGGAATTTAAACATTCGGATTTTATTCCAGCACATACGACATCAAGTTCGATAGATGATTCAGAATTGGAACAAAGGCTTGAGTTATACGGACTTTGTAAAGAATGTCAACATCCAAAACTTAACGAAGAGTGGTGTTCAAAATGTAATAACGAAAGATTTGAAGCAAGATTTGATACATGGACTAGTGGAAATAAAGATATTGATAAATTTATTTCTACAGTACAATTAACTGCTACAAATTATTCTCAAATATTGGAATGGATTCCATGGAAACGTTTAATGGAAATTGTACATATTGGAATTGGTAGATTTGGATCTGCTTATTCTGTTAGATGGTTAGATGGATATATTACTCATTGGGATAATACAAAACAAGAATGGGGAAGAAGTGAGTCCGGAAAAAAATTCTATGTTAAAGTCCTTCAAGGTTTATCAACTGACTTCGCAAATTTTGTTAATGAGGTGAATAATTCACGTGATTCCTTGTGAAATTTTTTTTTCCTGATTAGCTAATGTCTTGATTTGTTTTCCCTAGTTGTTGTCACATCAAAATGGTAAAAATGGGTTGATCCGATGTTACGGAATAACTCAGGACCCAGCCACAAAGGATTACGCATTAGTTATTCGTTGCATTGAGCGAGACATGAAAAGTTATTTATACAGTTCTCTTCCATATCCTGAATACGACTGGAAGACAAAACTAGAAATCCTCGCAGATATCGCTTCGGTCCTTCATCGTATTCATGACGCAGGTTTCGTTCACAAGAATCTTCACACAGGAAATTTAAGACGTTTAATGAATAGCACAATAGTAACCGAGATAAACTTGAATAGTCACGGTGACGATTCACCGACACTATCACATTCGGATGGGGTTTACGGAGTTCTTCCTTATATTGCACCAGAAGTCTTACGAGGGGGGCCAATTAATAAAGCGGCGGATATATATAGTCTTGGTGTAATTATGTGGGAAGTAGCAATTCAAAGACCTCCATTTGATTTAAATGCTCATGATAAATTGTTAGCCCAAAGGATTTGTTGTGGATTAAGACCTCACATTAACAATTCAATGCCAAAATCATTGGCTAAATTAATTAAAAGATGTTGGGATGCAAATCCATTAAATCGCCCCGAAGCTGAAGAAGTTTATATTTGGGTACAATGGTGGCTAGATTTATGTAATGATTCTACTTCTGATATTGCGGCAGAATTTAATATTGTTGATGGTGAAAGAAAACAAAAGGATGGAAATTTTTTTACGCACCCCGAGGCTATTTATACAAAACGTTTTTTGGATTTTCCGAGTTTACCTGAGCCCGAAAATTTTTCTCCTGATACCTATCATCAAATGGTTTCTTTATATGCAAGACGTCAACATATTTTGGATTCTGACAGTCATTGGAGCGCAAATAATAACTCGGATATTTTTGGTAAGTAATTAATTAAAGATTTTCTGTTCGAATAGTTTGAATATAACGCGAATTTTATTTCTAATAGATTTCGAATCGCAATTATCGCGTCCACCTTCAACCTATGCAGAAAATAACAAGGACAATCAAATTCTCACCCCACCTCCTCATAAGATTATAAGAGATATCTCATTAGAATATAACATACCAGGAGCATTTATCGGTAATGATACTTTTCTTTCATAACTATATAAATTATGTTTATCTAACATACGTATATTCTCATATATATAGGCGACAATATAGAAATAATTGACAATTGGGATGGTAAATATAATTATTTATTATATTTAACAATTATATAGAATGAAGTCTAATTTCCTCTTTGAATTTTAACACAGATGTTGAAGTATATATTCATTACGTTGTAATGGTTCTTATACCAAATGCATTTACGATAATTTTCCCAGATATCACAAAACATTATAAGAGTTTACCATTTTATATCAGAATTAGCTTTCTATCGTTAATGTTTTACTCGATTTTTGCTTCTATATGGAGCCTCATTAGATTATTTCTCCTTTTTTTATTTCTTTATTAACAAATAATTAGAAAGTTTATTAAAATTTTGTATATTAATATAATATTTTTAAATGAAATTTATAATTTAGACAATTATGTTTGTTCTGATCAACATGATCAACATAAAAATTGATAATTTTGTCAAGGCACGTGATTCAAAAATGCATATTTACAAAGTCAAATCTCGTTTAAAAGTCTTTTTTTTTTTTACTTTTGTTTGAACTACATTATTTTTTAACGTATTTATATTTTTTTTAAAAAAACCTACAAAAAAGTATTTTCAACTCGTGCTCTTTGTTTACTACTTGACGCAATGGCTTCAATACTTTCTGATGGCTCTTTAACCGATGTATCCTCGTCGAGTTCGCCTTCGTCAGGGTCATATGATAGTTCGGGAAATTCTTCACCTAATGTAACATTACGTTATCAAAAAGGAGAAGAAGCGCTATGTTATCATGGTCCTACGGTATATATAGCACAAATCTTGGACACGAGAATAATATACACTAGTAAAGTTGGTGAAGTAGGTCCACAATATCACGTACATTATAAAGGATGGAACAAGAAATGGGACGAATGGGTACCTGAATCAAGATTACTTAAGAAGACACAAGAAAATATAGAGATGTACATGATGCCGAAGAAGCATGTTATGGTTGAATCATCAGAACAAGATTCAGCTGATAATATTGTTGATAATAATAACAATAATAATAAAAGGAGATTTAAAGAAGATGAAAGCGATCTAGAGGGAGGAGATAAGAAAAATCAAAAATTACGCTCAAAAAGAATTAGGTTATCCGTTGATGTAAAGATTGAGGAGAAAGTCAGGATGATTGATGAATGGCAGTGGATAACTAAAAATCAATTAATTATACATCCAATGCCAAGAGAAAAAACTGTGGATGATATTCTAAAGGAATTTTTAGACTGGTACTTGGAAAAATTAAGAGAACGTAATAAAATCACTAAACAACAAGAGTTGGATGTAGACGATGATGTAGAAGATTTTAAAGAATTCTTTAATGAAGCCCTTCCAATTTATCTTCTTTATCGTTTTGAACGACAACAATTTGTTGAAATGACAGAAAAATATCCTGAACTTCCTTATTCTTCAATTTATGGTGCAGAACATTTAATGCGTCTTATTGTAAAAATACCAGATCTTGTATTTTCTGTACAAATGAAAGAAGAGAAAGCTGAGGAAATACAAACGTTGGTTAGGGAGATAGCAGAATTCATGCAGCTTAAATGTAAAAATTATTACGCTACTCAATATGAACCTGCTGATCCTGCTTATATTAGAATTATCTGGGAATATTAATGAAAAGCTCAATGAGAGAATTTTACAAAAAAAGCAAATGGAAAGTATTAGAAGAAGTAAATGTCAATTTGCCAGCATATTGTAAATGCTATTTTATTTTCATTTTTCAATAACTTACTTTAATTATTATAATTCTATTATCCTTTGTATATATTTTTTTATTTTTTTTATTTTAGTATTCTGCTTTAGTAATTAATGTATTTTAATTCTTTTTTTTTATGTTTAGCTGTGATAGTTTATAACGTGCAGACATATTCTTTAACATTATAAACTTATTGTTTACATTATCAGGTTTTGTTATTGAAGAAATAAAAATTAATATATACCCAAAAAATTTCAATTATTCTAATAATAGTAGATGTGTTGTATGCTAACTGAAATAAATAAATTTGTATATTATATAAGATTTATTTGATTTATTAGAATATTAATAAGTAATAATTTTGGATAAAAAAATTTTATTTACTAAATTAAATAAAAAATATTAAAAATTCTAATAGAAACAATTTTTTTTATATAAGATTATAGCTTTAACAATAAATTTAAATAAAAAGTATTATATTTATCTAATTAAACTATATTAATTTGTATATATAAACCCTAATTTTTCAATATACAGTTGTCCTCCCATATAGTCACCCTCACAACTCCCTTATAAGCACATTTACATTAATCCCAAATTACTAATAAACTTACTAAAAAAAACCTTTCCTTTAATCACATCATATATAATTTTTATAGTCACCCCTTTTTTTTTTGATCCCAAAGGGTGTAATTATATGGGAGGATAACTGTATACAGTATAGCTTTATTTTTTTATTTTAAATTTAATTTCATATTATTATTAGAAATAATGTATTTACCGCACCCTGCGTTACAAATTTATATATATTTTTATGTTTATCATTTGCCATTTTAGGGGGGGTGCGGCGTATAAACTAAAGATTGACATAAATAATTTACAAAAAAGGAAGGATGCTTTGTAACGCAGGGTGCGGTAAATAAATTCACTCTTATTATTATATAATATTAATATATAAAAATAAAAAATAACTACATGGAAAATTAACCAAAAAAATTATATAATTTCAAATAAAACTATTACATGCATTATTAACATTAATTCTTTATTAATTTAAATTAGCAATATTCTATAAAGATATATAATTTTTTTATAATATTAAATATAGTATTATATAAAAGCAAATCAAAATTATCAATTATAGAATCAAATAAGATCGTATATAATAAAAAATTTGTATTTTAACTAATCATATAAATCTAAAGGCTAAAGCTATTTTAACAAGTTTGTTATATCCTTTTTTTTTAATATACTGTGCATTTATTAGTTAAAGTAAAAAAAATTATAGATATATAAAGTACAAAAATAATAAATTAAATTACAGAATACTAATAAATTACTTATCATCCAATACTATAAACTCTACATATACACAATTAATATTTAGCAGATTAAAACAGCTATATAGGTATATATTTATAAAAAATTCATTTTTAGCATAAATGCTTGTAATCTAAACTAGTAAAAGCTACCTTACTATAACTAATATTACCATATATTAGTAAAAATTAAAAACAAAAAAAACTATATAAATTAATAAAATCCTTTTATAATTTCTATAAAGTCATTTACTTAAGTAAATAAAATGGCAAGTTAGCCTAATTAAATTGTAAAACCATTTTGATTTTCTGGATTTTCAGATTAAGTTATGGAAAATAAATATATTAGTAATTAAAACTCAAAGAAATATCATTTATGGCAAATATATTTAATATATCAGTATAAAGAATAAATATATTGTAAATAGCATTCAAATTCAAATAAAATTAGAGAAGAAATTCTCACATGGACCATTTTTTCACGAAAAAATAATATTTTATTTTAAAGTAACTATGGCCAAAAATGACACCAAAAACACTCAAATATGCTTAGAAAAAGCACAAAATGTACTTTGCAACTTTATAAAAGAAGTATTCATCGCTTTACTTGAAGTAGTTCTAGAATGCCTTATTAAAACTAGCTCTACAGGTGTATACCAAAGTTTACAAGACCGTTTTGACTCTGAGATGCTGAACTACTTATCAAAAGACTTCTTTGATAGCTTTATTGATGCACATATGAAAACTAGAACCTTTAACGCAAATAGTTTTATGAACTTAATATTTCTTTTTATGGAGTTTTATGATACTCTTGAACTTTCGTAAAATGAGAAGCTCAGAAACTTGAGAAAAAAATTACCTGACTCCAGCATGTCAAAAATATGCACCAATCAGGAGGTTATATCTCTATGTACATCAACATCAGAAATGGAAATTTTTGAAGACACTATACATCAATCATAGGACGTGAATATTGAAATACAAACAAAAGCCCTAGATGCCAAAGCCGTACCCTTTACCCAAAAGAAAAGAACCGCATGGTGACTTTTGCTGATATTGTGAAATGAAAGCCTGATAACGATAGCTGGCCATCTTTATCTACTCCTATTGGACGTAAAAGACCTTTAAAGACTTCTGCTAAGAAAGATCCTAAAAGCAGTGATAAATCGTCTAAGAAGTTTGATAAAAAAATTAAATCTCAATAACATGCTTCTAAAAAAATAATTTTAATCATTAGGGCAGTGACATTTATTACGTAATATTTTAGGGGGTGGGAGGGTATTTAAAGGTCATATAACATATAAGTGTAACGTAAGATTTTTCATATTACATGGGGGTGGGGGAGTATGGGCTTATAGTAAATAGATATTACGTAATAAATGTCACTGCCCTTATGACTGGATATGAGTCTATGAGGATAATATTTGGAAAATGGTTGTTTATAATATTTCCTTCAAATGGACCCAGATAGAAATACTTAATTACCTTAAGGATTGGAGTAATATTTTGGTTTTAAAGTTCAAAACGCAGAAGAAATATGTAACAGTCACAGTATTAATAGACCTTAATGACGCAGCTTTGAGTCAATGGAATGAAAAAGTATAGACTGCTTCTCTTAGAGGTTTACCTGTTTAATAGTTTTCAGCAGCTTGAAATCTAAAGCAATGCAAAGAGCACGAAAAATTCCAGGTAATTTTATTCAATGTTCTCAAATTGCTTACTACTGGTACTTTATATCTTACTAATAACCCTGCCTAATCATTGCTTTCTTTCACAGGTTGTAAGGTATTCAAACTTATTCAAGATAAAGGGTGTATGAAGCTAATTATGTATTACCAATCATAGGCGGACTTGAATAAAGTCACAAATATGAAATTTGACTTCAACAACTTTTCTGATGTATAGATGAGGTACTGTCCCGGGTAGTGGATGGATAGTTTGGTTCCTAATAATATTAGTTTTTTTTTTTACTTTTCATGTATTGGTTCAGCTAAAATTCTAATAAAGGTTCCAAAATATGCTGCAGCTAAAAAAAAAAAAAAAATAGTATTCAAATTAATATATTTCAATTTTTATTCTAAATCTATATAAATACAGTTAACCCTTGTTATAATAAACCTTAGAATCCAGACCTCAATTTTGCTATAAGACTATAGTAAAGATTTTAAGATTCGTTATAGCAAAAGGAAATTCATTATAGTTGTCTAAAAAATTCACTATATCAAGAGTTCACTATATTAAGATTTGACTATACACTAAATTAAAATCCAGAATAATATTAACACAACTCACATTTAAATTTGCTTAAAATTTATATTATAATTTTTCAAAAGTTGTGTATTACAAAAGTATTTTCAAAATTTTGTTATTCTACATAACCAGTGATTCAATTCTAATAAAATTTATATCATTAAATTCATTTCAATAAGAAAAGATTCTAATGATAATAAAATTGCATTTCTAGCTTCAATATTAATAGAATTATACTATAAAATGTATTTTTACCAATTGGTATTTAAAGTTTATTTGCAAGTTATATTAGTATTATTTAGAGTTTTACTAAATTCTACCAGTTACATTCTTGTATAAAATAATAATTACTAATTTTAACTTAAAGATGCTACCCAAAACTTAGTAGTTTCTGAAACTGTTATTGGTAAAACTATTTCTGAAATTTTTTTATTTTCTAAAACTAGTAAAACTGGTAAAACTAATCTAAAACTGGTAAATTACCGTATTTTATCGAAAATAAGCACCTATCAAAAATAAGCACCTCCCCTTATTTTGTGCGATTTCATGCAAAAATCAAAAATAAGCACCTTCAAAAATCAGCATCCCCCGGTATTTTATTAATTTTATTGACAATAGAAAAAAAAATAATTTTTAACTATATTGATTTTATTGACTTAGAAAAAAAAATAAAATTTAAACAAATATTATTAATTTGTATCGATAAAATCAATTTCATCCATTTCCTCATTTTCATCTTGAAGTTCTTTAAGAAGTTCATCAATTTCTTCATAAACAAGATCATCTTCCGATCCATCTAAATCATTAGATATACCACATTTTTTAAAAGAACGGATAATAATATCATCCGAAATATTCTCCCATGCACGCTTAACCCATTTACAAACATCACTTATTTTAGCACGTCGAAGGTTTCCTGAAGTAGTATACCCAGCACCACCATTAGACATCCAGTGGTGCCATTCTTTACGGAGGTTGTCTTTAAATGGCTTGTTGATTGCAACATCAAGTGGTTGACAAATGCTAGTCAAACCACCCGGAATTACTGCCAAATCAACATTAGTATCATGAAATGCGTTTTTAACAGATTCTTCTAAATGTCCTCTAAAAGAATCATACACCATCAATGCAGGAGAGCTGGATTGACCGTTTGTCATTATTCTTGAACGTTTGAGATAATCAACATACCGTTTCATTAAGTCTGTATTCATCCATCCACTCTCTTGGAACCAAACAATCACACCAGAAGGTGCTTGTTCTCCGCGTGGCATTTGTTTTCCTTTGAAAATACAAATTGCCGGAAATTTAGTTCCATCTATTATAAATAAAAAAAATTGTTATTTTATTTAAAAACTAATAAAAACCATAAATTTAATGTAAATCTTACCTGCGGCACATGTTAAAACTACTGTAAATCTGTTTTTTTCATTTCCTGTTCCACGAATATGAATTGTCTTATCACCTTTCGTATGAATGGTAAAATTTCCAGCCATGTCAAACCAGACAGGCGTTTCGTCCATATTAAAAATATTACACAATTCAAAAGATTTTCTGACCCTAATTCGAATGACAAATCTGCGAAATTTTTCCAATAATTCTTCTGTTTGTTCAGGTAGT